GTAGGGAAAAATCTGTTTTACATTTGTTTTATCCAGGTTTTTATATTACAGCTATATCAGAGTGCAAATGTAGGCCCCAGTCCTGCAGAAAATTATGCATGTGCTTAAGTTTATGCGTGCAATGACTCACACTGAAGGCAAAGGATCTATAAATGTCTAAAGATAAGCATATATAACTTTGTAGGATTGGAACCAGTTTTAAAATATTTATTTATTCAATATAATTTACCTTATACAGGTTGGACCTCTCTGGTCTGGCACCCTGGAGACCTGAGTGGTCCCGGGTAGGGGACTTTGCCAGCTCAGGGAAGGTCATTTCCGGGCTGCCCACCAACGGTCCCTCCAGCCATGGCCTCACTGTCAGCTTCCCAGCCCTCCATGGGACACTCTGGTTCTGAACATCTGTGCCTTTTCCGGACCAGGGATGTTTCCAGACCAAAGAGTCCTGATTAAGGAGGTTCAACCTGTATAAAATAATTGGTATAAATAAGATGTCAGACAAGGCTTTAAACTGGTAATTGTATATCTGTTTATATTTAGACTATTTTCTTACCTCTTTCTAGAGATATAAAATCCAATATAATTGGTTTACCGGTTAAACATTGTTTAAGTGGTTAACAAATTAAAGGGGGGGGGGGGGGGGCAGGTCCAGCCCAGCTCGCGCCACCTGCTGGGTGAGGATATGATTTGGTAAATATAGGCTTGAAAGTATTAGGATTTTTTTTTCAAATAGATGGCAGTAAATGCCAATTTCACTATCACCAAACAAATCAACGAATATTTCCAGCAATAATAGAAATTTACAGATAAGCATAGTAAGAAAAATGGAATTTGAAAACTTAAAGACTTTGATTTAAGGAAATTTGCCTAGTATATTCCCATGTTATGTTTAAAATGTGTGCATTAATGGCTATAAAGCTTTAACATCTTGAATCTCAAGGTCTACTATCATTAAATGGTCTGATCTTCCCCAGTGCCTAATCGCCATGATTTCCCACAACTGTGAACATTTAAATAGATAAAAATACAAAAAGTGTTTAAAACCAATAATTTTGCACAACTGAAGATTTAAATTGGTAATCGTAGGAAAAATGCTTAAAAACAAACACTAATATATTAGCGGTCAATTTTTATTTATTTATTTGTACAAAAGAATCCTGTCAAGCCTAGATATAAATCATAAATACGCAGTATACTACCAATAATGTGTCTGCACAAAAAGAAATCTAAGACAACATTTGTATTTTCCATTAAAACAATCATTTAAGCATGGCTAACAATGTTTAACAAAACATACATTTTACTTGAGCACCTAAGATACAAAGTATTAGAAATCAAGTCACCACCATTTTAATGTTATATTTTTTGCATGCAATGTATACATAAACAGACAGTTAGTAAACATATACAAGTGTAGCACAAATAAGGTAAATGGGGTATTGCTGTGGATTGTATCTAATGTCATATTCACTATGCCAGTCATAACATTTGCTAGCAAGAAAAAAACTAACTGATTTCTATCAATAGCATTAATTATGCAAATACTTAGCCCCTTTCTTTTGATAGATGTGGGCTCCAACTCATGCTTTGTATTTGTATTAGGTGGTTGTGTAAAATTCCAACAGCAAGGAACTCTAGATCCATTTACCAGAAGTTTTGTAAACACCAAAATAAGATCAGTCACTAAAAACCAGATGAAAAATGTCAGGCACTGAGCAACTGTCCAGATGCAAAAGGACAGATTAGCTATTCTGCGGGACACAGGGTCTATATAAACTTGAGACATATAAAGAAATAGAAAGAGTATAAAAGTTGTCAGCAGAAAGAAACATATTACTTCAATCCAATCCTTGACTAAAGTTCTTCTCTTTAATAAATATAACCCCACTTGCACACTAGCCATATAGATAGCCAGATAACCAAGAAGAGAGAACACCCCTTCTCTGTTAGCATTTAAAAATCCAACTCTTGTATCTTTGCCATCACTCCCATATAAAACAAACATCTTTAGATGGGTAGTGTCAAGAATAAGCTGATAAAATACAGCAAGAAACATACCAACAATCCATGATTTGTTGGCTGGAAATAGAGTTAAAACTAGTGATGCTGTCAGTCTCACAACTGCTAAAGTGAAAAAAAAATTCCAGTGCACACCGTACTCTGAAAAATGTTCATGATACTCCACAGATTTAACACTGATCAGTCGTCCCAAGCCAAGAAGAACTAACGGCCAAACAGATAACACCTGTTTAGCCAAACAGGAGAATTTGGATTGCACCATACTTGGTTTTTGTCTAACTTCAGGACAAACGAGAGCATTACCAAAAATAAAAGCTCCTACTCCAAAATCCATAGCACCAGTTCCATAGTTCTCAGTTTTAGCATACCGTCTGGGGTACTGTGGAAAATCCACTGCTAGAATGTTTATCGCAGTTAATATGTTGATATAAACACGAAACACAGTTATTGATGGAATGTAGTTTGGTTCTAAGTTTGTCTTCAAGAAATCATGTACGATTTGCTTAAGAGGAGTCCTGATACAACAGTTTCGTTGGTTGTATATTTTATAGAACAATCCCACACAGATGGCCCCCACAGTTATTGGCAAAAGAGGGAAGACAGGGGACAAAACAGTGCAAATGATCACAAAAGGAGCTACTAGCACTGTAAAGTCTAGTAATAGATGATATTTCCTTGAATGTAAAGCTGTTCCATTGTGCAGATAATACAAAATTAATAGCAAACCTCTGCAAGCTATACATAGTGGAGCTAGCGTTAAACCTATTGAAATTTCCAGCACACTTGTTCCATTTAAGTTACTGATAAAGGCTTCTTTCAGCAGCTTTTGTGACATTCTTCTTCCTATGCAAATAAAAACGTAAACTAGAATTAAAGTTTTGTAATGCAAGAACGTTTTTCAAGTTTGTGTTTAATTTATGCTCTGCTTCCTTTTATGTATGGCAACATAAGACATTAAATAATGATTCATTAGCACCATCTTGGTTATAAATGAATTCTTTTTGCCCCCCAAAACATACAATAAATAATGCAACATCATAAGAACTGTTTTGGCCATCCTGCCGGTTTGTAGTGATTTTTAAGATATCTATTTACAAATATCTATTAATAAAATTGGAAATAAAGTGCTCTGCCCAAATCCCAGTTCTGAAAACATTTATATATGCACTTAATTTGGGACTATACACAGTAATAAAATTAAGCACGTGTAATTGTTTTTAAAAACACAGATTTTAAATGTCTCACTATAACAAAGCAAAATTTGTAATGTTAAACCTTGGGCATATATCCTGCAGGCACTTTTGTTACATCAAAGGATTTTTTTCTGAAAGCTTAAAATGTTAAAATTAGTCTCACAGCATTTATTGTAATTTAGAGAATACATTTAGTGGTATTAAATATGCTGCAATAAAAGAAGTTTGTTACTAACTTTTGGACAGCTGTTCGGTTGCACATGTGGATTAAACTAGCGGCTTTCATGGAGAAGACTCCAATGTTGCAAGTAACTCCACACAGATACACTGATCTGCTAACACACAGCAATTTGGAAGATTGTGCCCCAGTGTCCACATCAGAAACACCATCCCAAAGGGCACCTTTGCTTCCATTCTCAATGAAGAAACCAAATATAATAAAAACTAACTGAAGTTCTGCAAGCTGTTCTATATAGTCTTGTGTGAATCAGCATTCAGAAGGACCTAGGTCATACTGGAAGAGGCACTGGAAAATTAAATACTGCTCTTATCTATGCTTCATCGCTCAGGAGACTTCTGTGTATCTCTAGGGGTTGAGAACCACTGCAATAAAAGATATTACCTCACCCACTTTGCCTCTTTAATTGCAGGACTGGAGGCTTACTTGACCTCATATTTCTTTCATTTAAACTTCCAGAATTCATGACAGAGAACATTGCAATATAGAGCATACCGAGAGACAACTACAATCAATTTATCAATCTCTTTGATTTTCATATTCGATTCCTTGCCTTCTTCGTTTGTCTTTTTTCTCTATTTAGATTTTAAAGTATTAGGGCTAGCAAACTGCTTTCTTATCTCTTTGTAAAGAAATAAATAGCACTGTATAAATAATAAAGCATCCAAAATATTGCATTATATAACATGAAGTCAATTACATATAATGCTCTTCCAGCCCATTTTTAAGCAATGGTTCCACCTAGTAGTTTCATTTTCTTTACACTTCTGCCAAAACCCACAACAAATGATCGACACCGAGAAATTATCTGAGTGAGCCAGCAGATGAAAAACAAGGCTTTATTTTAATAATTTCCATAACATCTGCGCCTTTGACATTCATTATGCAGGAGGTTCTCACCATGAGTGTTCTCTAGCGAAAGGGAATTTGCTGGTTAAACGAAGTTCTTCCTCTGTCTCTGCAGCCTACCATTAGGTGCACTTTTCTCTCTGCTGCTTTCACTTCCGGTGGTAGCCTGTCAAAACCCAAACTCAGAGGTAAATGAGGATTTTGTTTCCTCCAAACATTTTCACCATTGTGAGAACCAGTTTGCTTTACTTCGTTGCCCGATTCAACACACTCAGCAGGCTAACGTAATAACAACCCACTCTTCTTTACTTAATATAAAACTACCACCAGGAAAAAAAATGCGGGGAGGAGCCACACCTTTCCTTTACACTCAGATAAAGAATACCTACTTCTTTGCCACTACAGAAAGAGGTTTTGATTAGCGAGCGCTAGTGGGCACACGTGGAATCTCTACTATAGATGGAACCCAAATATTTACATTTCCAACCTTTTCTTCCAGTCCAATCTAGGGAATATTGATTTATATCATCATGTGAGTTCTTTGCTCTTTATCCAAAGACTTACAATTTCACATTTAAAAGTCTTATTTAAAGATCTTAAAAAAATTTCTTTAACATTTAAAAGTCTTATTTAAAGATCTTAAAATCCTGGAGGCGAGATATTCAGCAGGCAAAGTCTTACTATTAAAAGACCCATTCCTATATTTCTTTAGTGTCCCTTTTATACTTTCTAAATGTTGGTAGGGATGATAAAGAATACGAGAGTTGCCTAAATCCCCATATATATCAGACTTATAAAAACAAAGAAATGCAAGTCACTTGCTTTTTAGGGTCCACGTTACCCCCAGACACCTTCAGTTTCCATTGATGCCAGCTTTCTTTAACCCCAATGGGAATTGCAGTCCACATTTGACTGGCATTTGACAGTTACTGCTTTGGTACATTGATATACCATTATTGCAATAACCTTGAAGTTGTGAGAGTTGAAAGATAAGCACTTAAAACATTTGTATTTTTTAGTTCTGAATGATAATCTACTGTCAGTAATTAGGGCCCTGGCTGATCATGTACAACCACATATAACTTCATGCACGTGAGGAGTCTCATGGAAGAAAATGGAACAAATCACATGCCTAAAGTTAAGCATGTGCTTTAAGTCTTTACAGAAGTGGGGAATGTGGTATTTCTTGAAAAATGAGACTATGGGGAAAAGGTTATAAATTACTTAACACTTCAGGGAGCGGTCAGCACTTTGCACGGACTAACGAACAAAGACTCATGAACGAGCCTTCTTTGAGCCAGGGGTCGCCATTTTACAGGTGGAGAAACTGAGGCAAAGCAAAGTGCTCCCAGAAACAGAAAAGGCCACTGTCGTAACCAAAGCGTGCAGATGCCCTCGCTTAGCGTGTGTACGAGTGATGCAGGCACACACCGGACAAGTGTGGGAGGAGAAAAGTGGGAGAAAACGTTGCTAGCGTCTCAGGATTAGGGGCTGCTTTTAAAGAGCCCAGGACGACTCCCCTGGATTTGCCAGGTAGCCCCTAACCCAGAGACAGATGCCAACAACGTTCCCGTTCCCACCCCCCCACCCCTTCCTCCAGCCTTGAAGCCAGCGCTCGGGATAGCCAGCTGTAACCAGAGACACAGGCGTTCTTTGCGCCACGTGGTTCTAGCTGCTGCTGAATCCGGCAGCGCTAGGCTGGGCCGGCGAGGCTGAAGCTTTCCTGCCCTTTCCCGAGTCTGCAGGCGGGCTGGCGCCCGGCCAGGCCTCTTCGGATTCAAACTGCAGCTCCCGCCCCTGCTCTCCAGCTCCTCCTGCGGTGGCGTGCCCGGCAGGTACGTCAGAGGCTCTCCCTTGGCAGCCGCTTTCTCCTTCCCGCTGGCTGGCTTGCTGCAAAGTCTCATGTCTGCCCTACGGAACGGGTGAGTCTCGAACTAGGGCTATTTATCCCAGCTCCCCGTGTTGCCCATTGGCTACTTTTCTGCTCTCTAATATTGGGAGCATCTGGGTCAAATTCTCGCCCCCAGCTGCGCAAGTCTCCCTTAGTCCCTCCCCCATCTGTGATTAGAAAGAGATTGGTGAAGCCCCTGTGATTAGAAAGAGATTGATGAAGTGCGGGGGATGGGTGGGCAAGCCCTCAATACTGTACACGTTCAACTTTTCTGCAAATAGCCCTTTCTACATGGGTGGAGTGTAAATTTTCTGTTTCAGCCCAATCCACAGAAGTAGCCCCTCCCTCACTGCGTTTAAAAACAGCGTTCCGGATCGGAAGGTCTTTAGGGTGCCCTTGAAAGCCTAAACATCATAATTAAAACCGCCAATAATGCTTTCCATTAAAAATAAGGCTGTTTTATTATAAAGCATTCAGGTTCCTTTTGCAGATTAGATAAATGTGGTAAATAGTTGGGTTTTGTGCACTACAGAACTATAACTAACTTGGAGTTTCCTTTACAAGTCGCAAATCTGAATTTTTGGTTGCAAATCTGAATTAGAGGGGGGTGTCTGCTTATTTTACTTGCCCCTTTGATAATAGGAAGGTTAACATTAAACTATCTTACCCATTACAAAGATAGCTTCCCCAATTATCACCTCTAATACCATTAGCTCACAGACATTTACCTTTTTCCACCTCTAATACTATTAGCTCACAGACATTTACACCCCCCCTCCCCCCCCCCTTATGTAGGTTAACCACCGTGTTGTTACTTCTCTTGCCTCTCATTTTCCCTCACTAAGTCAGCTTTACTCTGAATTCAGACTGATTTTTTTTCCTTCCATGCCCTTTCAGATCATGTTTAGAGTTAGAATCTTAACTTTGCATCACTGAGAGTATCTCACTATTTTTCAGTTGTTCTTATGAGAATAGCAATGTCCCTAAATATTACTATAGAACTAGAGCTTCAGGGGGTAGCCAAGTTACCTAACAGTCCTATAATCAAACACTTCCTCTGGTGTCATAATAAGCATTAACAGTACTCTGCACTGATACCAGTTGAAACTCTGAAAAAGCAAAGTATCCCTGTTCAAAGCACATCACAATGTCAGTGATATGATTAACAAGCTCTGTGTAAATAGGAGAGGGGAAGGGAGGTGGGGTGAGAGACAGAGCATCATTAAGAATCTGGAGAATGGGTACTTAAACCTAAGCAGATAAAAATCAAAGTCAATAGATAGCTTCCTAAGACAGGAACGATATACTAGATGCTAGTAAAAGCTATTCTATGATTCCTCGAGAACAAAGAATTCATTTCAATCAAGATTAAATTGTGTGTGTTAGAATATGAACATAATCAGGGGAAACTATTTAAATAAAACCTACCTCAGAGATAACTGAAGGCAGAAAACAGGTAACTTTGAACACAATGGAGAAGAGGATGCAAACTCATTCCACTTTTTTTTTTTTAAATCACTAGCTACTCTAGTAGATGTCTTCTCCAGTGTAGTCTGGAAAAGCTATTGTTTTTGTATTTTGCTTGCATGGATGTATACGCTAATAGTTAAAATACAGGACTGGGAGTAAGATCTGAAGTCTGTTTTTTGGTTGCGTCGCTTATTTGCTATGTGACCTTGGGTAGTTTGTTTGATATCTGTGAACTGGAGCTGCTCTCTCCTTCCCTGTTTCAACAGCTTGTAAGTTTTACATCAGGGCTGCGTCTAAACTGGCATGATTTTGTGGAAATACTTTTAATGAAAAAGGTTTTCCGTTAAAAGTATTTCCACAAAAGCGCGTCTAGATTGGCACGGATGCTTTTGCGCAAAAAGTGCTTTTGCGCAAAAGCATCGGTGGCTAGTCTAGATGCAATTTTGCGCGAGAAAGCCCCGATCGCCATTTTAGCCATGGGGGCTGTTTTGCACAAAACAGTTCTACACTGGTCCTCTTGCACAAGTATTCTTGTGCAAGAGGGCTTTTTCCCGAGCGGGAGCGTGAAAGTATTTGCACAAGAAGCACTGATTTTGTACATTACAAAGTCAGTGCTCTTGCGCAAATTCAAGCGGCCAGAGTAGACAGCTGGCAAGTTTTTAAATCTTGCCAGTTTACCAGTTTAGCACCGCCCAGTAGTCTTGTAAAGCACTTACAGATGTTAACAATGGAAGGAGATAGAGAAGTGCAGAGTGGGATAAGACAGCTACATGCGTAATTTTTACTAACGTGTTGCTCTCTAGAACTTTCAAATTAAGGATCAGTGTAGTGTTAAACAAGCCTTCTATTAAACGCCATTTACATGAAGCTAAAACTATGGCAATTCACCCATCTAGGATACAATAGTTGAAGCCTAGAGATTCAATCCTCTTTTCCATTGTTAGAATAAGAGCAAAAAAACAAAAACAGGGCTTAACCTCACTTCAGTTGAAGTAAATAGGAACTCTCCCTTGGATTTCAGCAGAAGGCGAATAAAGCCAGTAATGAGCAAGTATGTCTTGTTTTTACTGTGGGATGTAACTTTCAAGAGTCACACCTTGTACAGAAATGCTCTGACATCACCGATGCTATCAGGCCCACTAACTTTTCCTATCCAATGTAACAACAGGAATGAACAGCAACACATTTTATTTTCATTCAGAAGAATTCACAACATGCTATTTAGTCCTCTTAACCCAAGAGAAACTAAGTGACTGATTTTGTTCATACAACGCTTTTTCCTAAAGAAGCTTTGTTTATTTTTTTTCTACAGAGAATTAGAGAGGATGCACTTTAAATACATTTATTCAGCTAGGTCATGAACCTCTTTGCATTCAAGTAAACAGCAGAGATCCTATTATTTTCAGTGGGAGTAGAATGGAAATCCTAGACCCTGAATTCCTAGGACAGCTCTTCAACAGCTCTTAGGTGCCTGTCTCCTATTTAAATTAATGGGAGGTAGGTGTCAAGATACATTTTGAGGCTCTGGGATGTGATCATGCAATGGAGGCTCATTGGTTAACTTTCACAGCTACTCCCCACCCCAGCCCCCCTTGCTGCTTCTATATCCCCAGTGTCTAGCCAATGGGAGCTGTGGGGATGTGCAGGAGAGGCAATGCACAGGGACACACTTGCTAGTAGCAGCTGACTGCTTCCTAGGAGTGGTGTGGCTGGGTCTGCAGCAGCACTTTTAGTGGCCGAGAGGATTCATGGCAGACAAAAGGAAAATGTTTGTTGGGGCCGAATCTGACCTGAGGGCTGTATTTTGCCTACCCCAATGTAACAACATCTGTACGCTAGCTAGTTCCATTGTTAACTAACTCCTTATTCTGGTGGGGCTGGCTTCTCTAGAAAAGAAAATGTAAATAAGAACATAGAAATGGTCTTACTGGGTCAGACCAAAGGCCCATCTAGCCCAGGCTATGTCTACACTACAGTGATCTGTCGGAAAAAGATACGCAAATTGTGCTCCGGAAAAGCCTCCTATTTTGGAAGAGCCTTTCTTCCGCAAAAAAAAGCAGAAGAGCACACGTGTCAGAAAACCCCCATAGTGTAGACATAGCTCCAGTATCCTGTCTTCCAACAGTGGCCAATGCCAGATGCCCAGAGGGAGTGAACAGACACCATTCCTTCCCAAACTGGCTAATAGCCACAGATGGATCTATCCTCCATGAATTTATTAAGTTCTTTTTTGAGCATTGTTCAAATCCTGGTTTTCTCAACATCCTCTGGCAAGGAGTTCCACAGGTTGACTATGTGCTGCATGAAGAAAAACTTCCTTTTATTGTGTTAAACCTGCTACCTATTAATTTCATTTGGTGACTCCTAGTTCTTATATTGTGGGAATAAGTAAATAACTTTTCCTTATTCATTTTTTCCACATCAGTCATAATTTTATTTACCTCTATCAAATCTTCCTTAGTCTCCTCTTTTCTAAGTTTTAAAAGTCACAGTCTCTTTAATCTCTCTTCATATGGGACCCATTCCAAGCCTCTAATAATTTTTGTTGCCCTTTTCTGAACCTTTTCCAATGCCAGTACATCTTTTTTTAGATGAGGGGACGACGTTTGTACACAGTATTCAACATATGGGCGTACCATGGCTTTATATAGATGCAATAAGATGATATTTGTCTCATTCTCTGTCCCTTTTTTAATTATTCCTAACATTCTATTTGCTTTTTTTGACTGCCGCTGCACATTGAATGGATGTTTTCAGAGAACTATCCACAATGAATCCAAGATCTCTCTCTTGAGTACAGTAGTTATAGCTAAAGTAGTCCTAATCATTTTGTATGTGTAGATGGGATTATTTTTTCCAATGTGCATTACTTTGCATTTTTCAGCAAATCCATACTAGAGTTCAGATTTTAGTCTCCTCTCTTGGAAAGCAGTACAGGATTATGTGGTTCGCATTACTCTTTCTGAAATAACCAAGTTAATCTCTTTCAGGTCCTCTAGTTTGACAAGATCCCCCAGGCTGAAAGCCTTCACCTATCACTCTGCTACCCAGGAGTCCTGTTTATAGAGCTTTACAAATTCACCCCTATATAGCATCCGACAACTGAAAAATATGCCCAAACAGGTAAACTCAAGTTCCAGTGTTTGTCTTTGCTAATTTAAATTTATTGCCGTGAAATATGCTGGGTTGCAATTCAATTGATTATAATTCACAGTAGCAGACTATTCAAGTATTCTCTCTTTCCCCCCCCTCCCTTGTTGCCCTGCCAACTGCTCATCAAATGTGTCATAAACCTCTAGGTAATTTTGAACCACTAGCTTTGATAAGTTTAAGGTTTTGATCTGTATTATTTAAGATTGAGGTTTTTATATGTGGCTGATAAAATGAGTAAGACTAGTGAATATTGTCAGTTCATTAATTTATGGAGGCCTGCCTTCAGACAGCTACAACTGGAAATTGTAGGATGACACTAGACTGGTCACTATTTTTAATCAGCACCATTCAAAGTCCTTTTTCAGTAACATTGTTTAAATGTGAACTTTTCCCCTCCCACCTGAGCTTTTAAGAGTTGTCATAGTCTTGAATATTTTTTGCTTTTAGCCATAAAGAACAATAGATCCAAGTAAATGCAGGGAAATTGGGCCAACTAATACCAGCCAGTGAAAAGTCCTTTTCTGGGACTTGGTACAGCCACCTCTGCAGTGGAGTTTACAGCAATTTATCTCCCATAAATATTCAAGAAATGAGAAGGCTGGGGAAGAACAATGCACGTTTTCCCACAGATGGAGGAATTAGCACAACAAAGCACACTAGTATGATTTGAAGAGCAGTATTTGGCTTTGTGTGGGTCAGCATGTTTAGCTGTGAACTCATTGGGGTCCATTAATGCTCAGACATGGTATGATGAGGAAAACCATGTTCATGTCAATATTTGGCCGACTCTCTTCTCATTCGACTTTATTGGTAAGCAAATTTTTATTGGTCTGCTATAGAATTGTGTATGACTTCCAATCCAGTTCTATCCAGTCTGGAAAGAGAATGGACATATACAAGAGTAACTATTATTCTCAGTTTAAATTATTATTCCTGCAGAACCATATGTGCAAGCAGTGTTTATAGGATGTTGTTTCTCAATGTGAATGCTGCTGAAATCAATCAATCAAATTGCATATGCAAACTGTATTCTACAGCTTGTGGGTATAAAGAAAAAAAGACTGCATTAAGGACATACTAAGACTTGCTCAACTTGTAAGGTTAATAGTAGTTACATAAGGGGGGGAAGAGAGGGAAGGAACAAGAAAGACTTCAGGAAGGAATGCAAAAGCAGCATTTGCAACAGAACAAAACCCATAACTCACACACACACACAAAAAATCTGGTACCTGAAAAACACACACACACAAAAATCTGGTGCCTGAAACTTGTTTTTACTGGCTACACTTTCTATTACTTATGCTTAACAAACAAGTGACTTTCCAAGCAGTATTTTCAAGGACACTGGAGCCCTGTATTTAAATAAAAGTTATATGCAGAGGGCCAAATCCGATTTGATGCTGGTAAAGTAGTATAATCCCTCCATTCACCTCTATAAATGGGCACATAATATATAAAATATACCATCTCGTAAAACCATAATTGTGGAACTCCAGATTGGGCTTAGAAAATACAAGCCAGGGGAACCTCCATTAGCTTTAGTCCAGACAGCTAATTTGATCCAAGCACTAGGTATTAAGATCAATAGATCATATCTTTGAGTCAGGCCTTGTATTGAGTATATGTCATTCAGAGAAGTCAAAATCCTCTGCTTATGATTCTTTAAGAACAGATATAATTACAGGCTACGTTTAGACTGGCCCCTTCTCCGGAAGAGGCATGCAAAGCAGGCAAGTCAGAATAGGGAAATCCGCGGGGGATTTAAATAAACATGGCCGCCGCTTTTTTTCCGGCTTGGGGAAAAGCCGGAAAAGAGCGTCTAGACTGGCAAGTAGGAATAAGAGGTCCTCCGGAAAAGGGCTTTATTCCGGAGGATCGCGCCAGTCTAGACGCTCTTTTCCAGCTTTTCTAAAATGTTTATTTAAATCCCGCGGGGGATATTTAAATCCCCCGCGGATTTCCCTATTCTGACTTGCCTGCTTTGCATGCCTCTTCCGGAGAAGGGGCCAGTCTAGACGTAGCCACACAGTGGCTCATGCATTTTCCAACACCCGGAAGTATATATTTAGCAACACATTTATCCATAGTATCCCTTGAATTAGAATTACACCAGGGATGAATTCAGCCCATAAAAGTTTTCATTGGTTCGTGATCTCGCATGCATTAAATAAATCTGGGATGTGATGGGGTAACTGGTTAATGGGATGATGCTCACCGGTTAACCGGTACCTGGGAGCAGTCCGCTGCAGGCAGAAAGCTGCACCAGCCCTGTGGAGGATGGGAACTGGCTGCCTTGCACACTGCGGGGCCGGGAGCAGAAGCTGGCCACCCTGAACGTGGGGCTGCCGGGAGAGCTGGAGCAATAGCTCCACTTGCTCATGGGAGGGCCAGGAGCAGAAGCCCAGGCTTGGGGCTTCTCCAGCAAGGCTGGAGCAGTACTCCCTAGGATCCTGCTTAATTGGTTAACTGATTAAACCTAAGGTTTAACCGGTTAACTGATTAACCAGGATTTTACATCCCTAAAATAAACACCTTCTAAAGCATGTTTAAAACTGAAAGACAGCTTCCAAGGTACTTAGGTTTTTTTTTTAATGCTGCCTGGGGCGGAGAAGTCAGACCAGTAGTAAAAATGTGCGGAATTATTTGTTTCTTGCTAAGACTGAGCTTAAAGCAGGAAAGGGACTTTAAACTGCAGTTGAAGAGGCGAGAGTCCACCCTTGTTCAATCTGTTACTAATGTTCGCTTTTATCTGTGCTTCCCAGATGAACGGCCCAAAGAGAGATCCTGCCATCCAGAATGAGCTCAATGACTCATTAAAAGAAGAGGTCAAAGCTTTTCTGAGTGATGATGATAAATTGCATCTCTTTGATGATCTTACCAAAGTTAATCCTGTAAACACAGCAACGGGTCAGTATTTGTGGCCTTCAGAAGATGCTTCTGAAAGGTTACTTCACTTTGCATAGTAAATAACTGTCTGCATACTCTGTGACAAGGTGGATGAGGGTAATGCCTTTTATTGGACCAACTTCAATGTATTTAAAAGATATCACCTTTAAAATATTACCTCCCCCATCTTGCCTCGCTGATATCCATGACCCACACAGCTACAACAGTTCTGTATATAACATATATTATAGTCAATGATTCTGATCATGGTTACACTAGGATGACAATAGTACCTGTGGACATGATCCAGAGTCTATGGAAGTCAATGGAAAGATTCCTGTTGCATTGAGATCAGTCCTGAAATTTGGCTTGGTCAGTATTCTTTAGCATGTTTTGAACCCACACCAGTCTCTCAGCAACTAAGATCTAAACAAAAAAGCTTTCCTCTATGTTACTGGTTCAAATGCACCTTGAATTGGTGGTGGTTGACAGTTATTGCTCCCGCCTTTTACATGACTATGAAAAAGGATTTTGTGCGCTCAGCCCAGTTTCTATTAACAGATTTCCTGATCTCAAGAAACCACCACACACAGTAGAGCCCTCTGACTATAATAGTCTTAGCAGAGACGCCAAGGTTTGGAAACTGCAGTCTTCACTTAACTTTCACTCTCCTTTTTCTGTGAATGAAGAGATGATTTAGTCTCTAGGGCTGTGGATATGGAACCTATAATGAGAGTGCATAAGAAATTAATCAGTACAATTCAGTGGTCTTTAAATTCTTGTTCTTAAGAAAACAAATGTATAAGAGGAATGTTTGGGGTAGATATGCTAGAAATTCTTATTTGACCACTCTCCAAGCATATCTTAGCTTGCCATGCTGGAGATCGATTTTCTGGCGTTTGATTTAGCGGGTCTATTCTAGACCCGCTAAATCAAATCCTGAGGGCAGCTCCGGCCAGCATCTGTACTCCTTACAATCACAAGGAGTAAGGGAAGCCAGCAGGAGCATTTTCAGCATCTGTACTCCTTACAATCACGAGGAGTAAGGGAAGCCAGCAGGAGCATTTGCTCCCGTTGGCCTCCTGCAATGGGGACCAGGCGAAGCTCGATTTTAAAGTAAGCCGACTCCAGCTATATATTTTACATAGCTGCAGTTGTGTACCTTGAGCCAATCTTCCAGGTCTAGTGTAGACCTGACCTCAGACTTTAAAAAACTGTTTTAAATCAATCTGTGAATAGACAAAAGAGAGAGCATTTTCCTAAACTTTTCTTATACAAATGTAGGACTGGGGAAAAGAAAATACATTTGTTTCCCATAACTGCTAACAGAATGTATGTATTTGTTTCAGTACTGAAATGTCTGCAAGCAAGGTACACGGTAGATGTGTTTTATACCAATGCTGGCTGCAGTCTTGTGGCTGTAAATCCATTTCAACCTGTCTGTCGCCTCTATTCATCCGAGCTAATGAACGAGTACCACGCTGCACTTCGCCCACAGGTAACAGTGGTGACTAGTTGGCTACAAAGCAAAAGAGAGGAAGTCATGCAACTCGGAACTTAATAAATCAAACCTGCGATGTTAGGACTATTTCTAGCAAAACTATATACTTTATTCAGCATGGCTCTCTTACACCCCTGTGCATATTTTGCTTTCCTTTCCCTCCTCCCGTCTACTTCCCAGGTTCATTCCTATAGTGTATAGTTAAGTGCATGTCTCAAATTTGAGTTTTATAATGTGTAATAGAGCTGTATGTAGGGCAGCAGGGCTGACAGCCTCGCTGGGCACCTAAGCAAGGTGTGGGAGGGAAGGTCCTGCTCTGTGCCCGTGAGGGGGGCAAGGCTGGCCTTCTGTGCCACCCGGACAGCAATGTGCCTCCCCCCCAGGCAGCCCTCAGTGCTGCCCAGATCATACCATGCACAATTGTGGTGGCAGTGTAAAGGGTCCAGGGGCCTGGCTGCAGTAGCAGCAGTGGTAAGGACTTCCGGGCCCTTTTGTATTGCCGGGCCCCGGGGCAGTAGCTCCCTGTTGGTGGGTTGGTGTGTAGAAGAAAAGATGTGGTTGATATTTCTGTGCTCAAATTCTTAAATCGACTAGAGGAAGACACGGTATGTTCTAGAGACCTGAGTGTGAGGCTTAGTCAGAAACTCCTGTGTTCTAATTTTTATCGTCAGCCCTGGCTGACATAGCCTGTCCTTCTGCTTCCTGGACCCAAATTCTTCTGTTCACTTAGATTTTTCTTACCTCACTGGGCTGTCAAGGATTAAGTAATAGAATCTTCTTTGTTTCAAACATCACTGTGTTCCTTTTCAACCAATATGTTCACTCTCTTTCTTGGTAGGAGTTGAAACCTCATATCTTTACTGTGGCTGAACAGACCTATAGAAATGTTGGAAGCCAGATTGAACCAATAAACCAGTCAATAATTGTTAGTGGTGAAAGTGGTGCTGGGAAGGTAAGCATAGGATTTGGGTGCAGGGGTGGGGGGGGGGGCTCTTTTTAATCAGAGTAAACTTAAACAACAAAGTCTGATAGCACAACAGACTGTTGGGGGCAAGTTCTGGTGTGGCCTAGGGGATAGGCTGTTTGCCTGGGGTGGGGTGGGGAGGGTGGTGGGTTCAAGTTCTGCCTCCCCCTGTCCCCTGGAGGGACAGGATGGGATAGGACAGCAAACACCCAGACCATTCCGGTGGAAGGCAGAATAAGGAACACCCCGTGCTACCAGACTATCTGTTGTTCTTAACGTTTATCCTGTACAGACTAACTTGGCTACCCACCAAAGCTTTTTCATCAGGTCACTGTTCGGCCGTTGCTCGCATGTTCTGAGATGTAACTGTGGTCCAAAGCATTTCAGCTAGCTCTTGAATTTGAAGAAAAAGGAGAGAAACACAAATGCAATTGGTACAAAATACAGCAGACAGTCGTATTCTTGAATTTGAAGAAAAAGGAGGAGAGAAACACCAATGCAATTGGTACAAAATACAGCAGACAGTCGTAAGCCATTAGAACTGGGGCTGGGGGAGAAGAATGCTGTCTGGTTGGATTCAAATGGGCCATACTCGGTACAGATATGGTTCAGAGAGTAGTTTTAATCCTTGATAAAGTTCCAGTTGAGTAAAATCCCTGCTGAAATCAAGGTAAAGATAGCTAAGTATGGCCCCTTTATTGGGACTAGATATGAGAGAGCGTAAGCCCCCGATGTCAAAACTAGGAATGTTAAAATGTATTTAAGTAATCTTGAAAATTACAGGGTGGGCAGATGACTCCTGCCTACCATCCCATGCTGCTGCCTCCATATAAGATATGGCGGAAGTGGGGAGTGCATGTGGGAGCCAGTGCGCACAGGGAACTTTTACGCCAGCTCCCCACGCATACCAGCTCCCGCCTGTCCCCTCCCCCATGCTGCTGCCTCTGATACAGAGGTAGCAGCAGTGCAAAGGGAGCCTGCATGTAGCATGTACGTTAACCGATGAGCCCACATTGATCCTGATTCTGAGCAGTCAATCCCTGCTCAGAAAAACTCTGTATGAATGATCGCTGTCTGAACAAAATAGCTGTCAATTCTGGCTATATTTCTGCATAGATGGATCTTGGTTTTTCTTACAGGACCATAGTCCAGCAAGGCACGTATAAGCGTGTGCCATAAACTTAACAAAAATCACTTTCCTCAACACGATCACTAGCTGCATAATGTTTTCCTATAGCCAAAGCACTGGTTTTAGAGTTGTGTCTGGTTATGGACTTGTGTCTAATCAATAATGCAAGAGCAGACAAAGGCCTACTGTCAAGATTCTCTTTTTAGACTTGGACATCCCGATGTCTTATGAAATTTTATGCAACTGTTGCTGCTTCATCTGCCTCTCCTAAAAGCAATGAAACAGTGGAGAGGATAGAGAAGAGAGTGCTGGACTCCAACCCTGTTATGGAAGCTTTTGGTAAAGACCTTTTAAATGTTAATATTAAGGGGAAACAGAACCATGACTATAGTAAAGGGTTTTTTTGGTTTTAATTTTGTACAAACCTAAACCACCCCCCATCATGTCTCTTATAAAATCACCCCTGAAACACTGAAGCAGCATGCAAATCATCACATATATATGTGTGTCCATAGTAGAAGAGTAAAATGGTTTGGTTTTTGTTGTTGTTGTGGGGTTCTTTTTGGGAGGGTAAGGGAGGGGTTTGGTTGATTTCCCCCCTGCCTCCAATTATTGGAAAATAATTGATACTTTGTGTGTCCTCTCTCCTGGTAATTTCACAGGAAATGCATGTACTCTGCGGAATAACAACAGCAGCCGTTTTGGAAAATATATCCAACTCCAGTTAAACAGGTATTCTTTATTACATAAGATGCTCAAGGTGTGTGGTGGTTTTTTGTTGTGGGGTGGTGGTGGTTTTGTGTTGTACCTTCACAACTTTCTCTTCTTGCAAACACATGTCTGGAATCTTCCACGGAACAAGGAGTGGAGTGTTCTTTGTAATGTACCTTGGTATATTAGGATGAATTAGCATTTCTTGGATTTATCTAGCACGTTGTCAACACGTAAAGGACACCTATCTTGCAAAGATCACTTTTCAATCCTGAAGACAGCACCAATGGACTACGCTGCAGCTTCATGGCTAATCAGTTTTTAAAAGCTTATAGCATTTAGACCAGAAGCTTAAGCCAGTATTAAAAGATTAGAGGTACTTTGCATTCTATGTGACAATTGGATGTCCATAGGACTTCTATTTTTATGGGTATTTACTGAAATATTTATTATTTCTCTAGATCACAGCATCTGACTAGTGCTTCAATTCAAACATTTCTATTGGAAAAGACCAGAGTTGCTTATCAGGCCCCACATGAAAGGAACTTTCATATTTTTTATCAGGTTTGTGCTAGATTAATTTAGCCGGGTATTTTTAAAGTACATTGCTGATAGAATCATTAGATCTGCAGACGGTCTACTTGCAATTTCCCATTATTTAGAATAATGCAGGTTTTTTTTAAACTCGTGGTTTAATTCAGTTTTCTGGATCTTATGTAAAGATCTTATTAAGTTTTGTTTCCAGCTTGTTCATCATCATTGTGCCCTTAACGTTGTTCATACGACATTAGGGTTCAGAAGTCTCTTCTGTTTTTGTTTCAAGATCACAAAAGGTGCCACAAAGGATGAAAGGCTGGAATGGAACCTGCCTGAGGGTGCCAATTTCTTCTGGCTGCCAAATTCTGAAAGAACACTGGAAGGTAAGATTTAAAGTTGACAACTCAGACTATTATGAAAGCTTAAACTGTTGTATGTAAACTGTTAACAGCCAGTGGGAGTATGATCTCAAGGAAGAAAAATCACTTGAGAGAGACTTATGGCTCTGGTACATTGGATTTATGTTCCATTTTTGCAAAGCCACTTGTGAGATTTTGCCTCTGTTCAGATTTCACTTTGCACTGTTAAAATTTATACTTAGTATAATATAGCAAGTTCTGATCTAGGGTCTCTGCATCTCTGAGGCAAAATTTACAACCCTTATGTGATCTCTGGCTGCTTCAACTTGCCTAACAAAACTCTGGGGCCCACAAAGTTTCAATATTTTACTCAATATTAAGTCATTCGGTGACAATAGTATAATTAATAGTATAGTATTACTGTAGTATAACGTCTGCTCCTTTGGGTTGACAAATCAGATGTTACATAAGAACGGCCATACTGGGTTCATATCTGCTGACAGTGGCCAATACTAGATGCCCCAGGGGGAGGGAACACAACAGGTGATCCTCACGTGATCCCTCTCCTCACGTGATCCCTCTCCTATCACCCATTTACAGACAAACAGCGGCTAGGGACACCATTTCTACCCGTCCTGGCTAATAACCATTGATGGACCTAAACTCCATGAATCTATCTAGCTCTTGAACCCTGTTAAAGTCCTAATCTCCACAGCCTCTGGCAAGAAGTTCCACAGGTTGACTGCGCTGAGTGAAGAAAAACTTCCTTTTGTATGTTTTGAACCTGCTGCCTATTAATTTCATTTGGTGATTCCTAGTTCTTATATTGTGGGACTAAGTAAATAACTTTACTTTTTCCACACCAGTCATGGATTTTATAGATCTCTATCATATCCCTCCTTAATCTCCTGTTTTTTAAGCTGAAAGCCCCAGTCTCTCTAATCTCTCTTCATATGGAACCCGTTCCAAACCCCTCAGCATTTTGGCTGCCCTCCTCTGAACCTTTTCCAAGGAGCAAAGATCCAGGGCATGGTGGTGGCGGGGGCTGTGTCAGGGTCTGTGCAGCAGGGCCAGCCGGAGAGGCCGGGGGGTTACAGGGGCAGTAAGTCTCCGTCTAGACTGCAAGCCTCTTTCGAAAAAGAGCGTCTAGACTACAACCAGTACTTTCGAAAAAGCAAGCCACTTTTTCGAAAGAGCACCCAGGCAGTCTGGATGCTCTCTTTTGAAAAAGAACAGTTTGCGTTACATAGCGCCTTTTTTCAAAAGAGCACTTTTGAAAAAAGGCGTTATTCCTCGTAAAAAGAGGTTTTTCACGGTCGAAAACACTGCCGCATTCTTTCGATTTACTTTCAAAAGAACGCAGCAGCAGTCTAGACGCAGGGGAAGTTTTTTAGAAAAAAGGCTATTTTTTTCAAAAAAACCCTGTAGTCTAGACACACCCTTAGATATTCTCTATCTTATTCTATTTGCTTTTTTTGACTGCACACTGAGTAAATGTTCTTGTGCTTGCATCTGGTACTTTCAATGGGGTGCCCAGGCACCTTTAAAAATGACAACTGTACTGTCTACATTTCCCTTTGGAAGGGGTGAGTAGGGTGTTTGGTGGCTTGTGTGTGTATTTTGCTTTGTTTTTAATAACATCTGTTTGGCTTTCTAGAGGATTGCTTTGAGGTGACCAGAGAGGCAATGTTTCATCTGGGCATTGACAGCTCCACACAGAACAATATTTTTAAGGTCAGATAAAAAACCTGGCACTATCTGTAAACCCATTTTTGTAACAAATGCTCTTACGGCTGAGGGAGTTCTTTGCCACTGCACATGCGCGGAATTTATGTCCCCCACTGTATTCTTTGCTTCCCATCAGAAAAATGACTTGCTGGTAGGGAAACCACAGGAATGGTTATGTGACCCTTCCCAGCAGCATGTTTTGGGTGCCCATGGCAGCCAACAGAGAGGTGGATCACTGTGGCGCACAGGACAGAAGCGGAGAAGACCCAGCTGGTGGCTTCTACCCTGCGTTTGGCTCAGCTGCTTGTCCCAGCTGGGCTAGGGATGACCAGACTTTTTTGTCCTCTGCACAGCATCTGGGGCTGGATCAGAATCACACACAACTTTCCTCCCCAGATGCCGGACACTTTGGAAACTGTCCTCTTCCACCCCCAGCCCTTTCTGCACTTATAGCTCCTCGGCTGCCAGGGAAGGGATCCCTTTATAGGGATGCTCCCCCATCTGCCCAACCCCCATAAATCCAGACCGCCTCATACCCAGAGCATCCTGCTAGGCCTCACAATCCCCCAATGAGTCCCACTCCTGCAGCTGGACCACCCCCATAAGCTCCAACCAGATACACCTGAATTCTCCCCCACTGAGCCCTCCGCACTTGGCGTCTTGTCTTGCTGAGCCTGCCTGCCCACACCTGGTGCACTTGGCATGGAGGGGCGAGGCCCTTGGGTAATGCTGGGGCAGACCTAGTCCTTGCGCTGCGTCGCCTCTCACCACTGAATCTATATCCCAGGGCAGGAAGGACTGCACAGTGATCTCCCACTTCCGTGCAGCCGCCGCTCTCCGCTATCATGCAGGGGCCATTGCATTTATTTGACAAAATTTAGCAGAATTTTTAATTTTCAGGCACCAAATTCCCTGCAGAGTATTCACCGGACTTTGTACCTGCTTGGTGTGTGATCAGTGTAGAGAAAGATCTTAATGCAACTGCAAAGCACGGGCGCATTAGCATCAAATCCTGCCATCCTTGTCGTCCCGAGCAACTCTCCTGATTTCTTGGGCAAAGTTGCCATTAGTAAGGCTTGCAGCATTTACCTTGTTGGCAGCAAATCCTCTTCCCGAGTACGAGTCCCGGGTCAGGAATCCTTCTCTGCCTCCCCAAAGGTGTGGAACCTGCCTGGCTGTCGTTGCACTAACTCGCACGACTTCTGCATTTCTGGCTGGGGAAGACGGCTGTCCTCGGGCGCCGCCCAAGATCCTTCTGAGGCATCTGTTCAACTGCCCTTCATTTCTGCAGTTGTGTTGATTGTTCCATAGCGGTCAATGGAATTTTGGAAACAGCTGTTAAACCAGCAGTAGTTCTTTAGAATAGCACCTGCCGTTAGGGTATACTGTCCCACGCAGGAGGGGGCAAAACGCAGCCCCGCAGGATCTTTGGGCAGATTCCCTGGCTTCTGCGCCCCCGCATGCTGCTCAGCGCAGCCAGCTGCTGGGGCCGGCGCGTGCGTGTCTGCGTGGCAAGCCCTTTGGAAGGAGGGAGCCTCTTGTGTCCTGACCCCGCCTCCCAGCCAATTGGAGTTGCAGGGGCAGTGCTTGCGGGCACACGCAGCACCAGGACGCTCACTGCCTGCCTCCCATCAAGGGGCATTGAGGGGCGGGTGGGGCTGTGGCAGTCAGAGAGCCTGCCCAAAGGTAAGGGCCTCCTGGCTAGAGCCTGCAGCTGGCACCCCAACCTTCTGTCTCAGGTCATAGCTCCCTCCTGTACCCAACCCTTTGTATTCCTCCGCTGCCCCCTCCTGCATCCAAACTCCCTCTCAGATCTGCACCCCTACCCTGGGCTCCCTTCTGCACCCAGCCTCCATCCCAGACCCTGCACCTCCTCTATTAATATCCTAGACAAGTGCAGCCGATGACCACATAACAAATTCTTGGGAGTAGCCCCTCCCCATCAAAAATGATTGCCCACCCCGATGTAACGTGTTAAAAATAACTTCTAAGCGCTCAATTCTGCGCTCGTTGACGCAAACAGTAGGATTTTCATTTACCTCACGGGTGCAGGTTCAGGAACTAAATTAGTGGTTTTAAAAATATAGGCAGCTCCTTTCAAATGATTTTTGGGCTTGCATGTTTATGTGAATGTGTCAGCTGCTGGCTCGTTTGACTGGGGTACTTGGAACTCAGATGCCTTTAACAATGATAGAGGAATCTGGACTCCAGACTTCAAGTGCCTGTTTACATTGCAGATCTTAGCAGGACTTCTGCACCTTGGTAACATTCAGTTCTCTGACTCAGTGGACGAATCCCAGCCTTGTGAACCAGAAGATAATGCCAAAGGTGAGGCCCCAAGCATACATAGCTTTAGTGTTGTACTTTCCTGTTGCATAACTACGACATGTTGCACCTCTGTAAACCAGAACTCTGTGGTCTGGCAACATCTGTGGACTGGAACGATTATGGATATTCCAAGATCAGAGAGTCCTGGTGCGATACAGGGGTGTGTGGCGGGGGCGGGGGACATGGGAAGCCCGGCACATGGCTGGCAGCAGGGAGGGCCAGAAAATGACGTCCCCTAGTCCGGCAAAATCCCTCATCCGGAATCAGTCAGGTCCTGAGAGTGCAGGACTTGGGGGGTCCAACCTGTATTGAAAGAGAGTGGCACCAGAACGACCCACTGATGTCAGAAGTACCTGTCCCGTGGTGTCCAACACGCTAGCCACGTGTGGCTGTTTGGCCGGTTGAGTGTGGCTAGTTTGCTATAGCAGTAGCCACTATAGTGGCTAGTGCTTCAGAACGGGTTGGACCCCACGGTCCTATACTGCGCTCTTGCTTTCGCAGAGACCAAAGTGGGGAGAGGAATGACCAGAACTGTCACCCAATTGTACCCTCTCTCCATTATTCCTTTGATGTGTGTTTATAAAACATCAGAGTGCTGCACAACCCCTTGTGTCATCCTCCCACCTCGGGAGAGAGCCCCGTCTATCAGAGCCGGGGAACTGAGTCATTCGCACTAAGGCACAAAGTGAGTTGTTGGCATAATCGTGATCCTTGTTTCTAGTCATACTTGCACTACGTGGCCCTCGGAGACCAAGGGACATAGATCGGAGGGTTCGAGGAATTTGTCTGTGCTTAAATATTCTAGTTGTAATTCCATGTTGAGACTCCAGTCTGAGCAAGTCTCTCAAATTGCAGCCTGTTATGTATTCTAGATGTTTTACAAGGGAGAATGTGAATTGAACTTCTTTTCTATTTGTAGACGATCTCTATGATCTAATTTTTTTTTTAATGACTCCAGTTTTCCCATGGAACTAACAGTAGCCTAATCAGCAAGGCTTCCGATTTCTGTTTCACACATTCTAGCAAATTCCAGTGGCTTTAATTTAGGACCAATAATTTCTAGTATACTTCAGCTGCTTTTTTGAGATGGCAAGATCTTAAGTAGTTTAAATTTTCTGTTTTACATTACACTAGGAAATCTTGATGCTCTACTATGACCTGGGCTATGTCTAGACCACGTAGAAGTTTTGAAAGAGGATATGCGAATTTACATATCTTCTTTCAATCTCTCTTTCGAAAATGAAAGTAGTCTGGACGTGGGTGGGAGAGGGGATTCGGAAAAAGGAGGTTTACACGTTTTTTTCTAAAAAGAGTTTTTTCCTGAAAAAAATCACGTCCAGACTACTTTCACTTTCAAAAGATCCTCTTTCGAAAGTGAGATTGGAAGAAAAAAAACCCATTGTATAGATGTACCCGGAGTTAAATTCTCTGACTACGCCACATACAATTCCTATTTTACTAGCTGTAATTGGTTTGTATACTAGTCTGTGTGTTTAGAGAGCTCTGTGGGCAGTGCCTGCTGGGGCTTGTTTGAGATGAGAAATATACAGACATGGGCATATGTTAAAAGATGTGGCATCATTTCAGGTGACCAGTTTTAGACTGCGAGGATATGCCTTCACTGCATTTTACGTCCAGGTTTCAAACTCAGGCTCAAGCCTAGCCCCCCTCTCCAGCTACATACAAATCATGCTAACCCAGGGCTCAAATTCAGGGTCCAGGGCTTCCTGGGGTTCAGGCCCTCTTATTTTTGCAGTGTAGATGCAGCACTGCTGGATTCATGCTCTCAGAGTCCACCAAAAGTACCCCACAATCCCACGGGCCAGCTTCCTTTGCCCTCTGCACAGTCACGTTTTCCCACACTGCACTGTGAACAAAAGGCGAGAGCAGCCATATTTGGCTGGAAAGTCTGGAATATGAGTACCTGGGCTCTGGGCCCACATTGTGCCGTGTAGATGCCAGTGCTCCAGGTTGGGACTCACAGTCCAACAATTCCTAACCTGAACTTAAAAATTAATGTAGATGCTCTAGCCCTAAGTTAAACCCAGGATCTGCTTACTCAAGCTCTTCTACCTCTGGGTTTTCATTGCAGCATAGCCATAGGCCTAGAAGTATGTGTTTGGATGTGAGCGGGTGTGTATTTAAAGAGGCACTGTTGAGCACTTGTAAATTGGGGTATGATTTTCAAAATTAGAGGCCAAAAGTCTTCCAAAACTCTGTCTTAAAAGTAAAAGAGCATATCCTATGACATCAGAAGCTGCCGTATGGGCAATCCGAAAGCCTCTTTTTTGATATTACATTTCTGGAGCTGCTTGGATTTGGAGACCGAGGTTATATTCATTTGATACTTTGACTGTTTTGAACAAGGCTTTGTGGAGACCACTGCGAACTTGCTGAAAGTCTCCGTGGAGGAGCTGCTGGAAACCCTAAGAATTCGAACGATAACGGCTGGAAAACAGCAACATGTTTTCAAGAAGCCATGCTCCAGAAGAGAATGTGAAACAAGAAGGGACTGCCTGGCCAAAGTTCTCTATGCGAAGTAAGTTCCATCAGCAGTGTTGCCATGACTGCCTATCCAAGGGACAGTGAACGTGTCCAAGTGACTGTTACAACGGGACCAATGGAGTTTTATCCCCGGCTAGTCGGGCTACAGATGAATAAGTAGAAATGACTGTCTAGCATGGCTACATGCACTTGTCCTTGCAAAGCTTGCCATATAGGGTCTTTTCAAGGACATTTCTAATCCGTTCAGTTTTATCTGCTACATGTTTGAACATTTGAGGCTGTTTTTCAACATGTTCAGAGCTTCATGAATATGTAAACATTTTTTTTAAAAGTACATGGGGCAGGTGAGCCAGGTGGTCGCCCGGGGTTGCCATTTTCAAGGGGCGACAGAGCTGTGACCACATTTCAGCCCAACCTCACGAATCCTCCCCCCAGGTTTCCCTGGTTACTCCCCGACATTTCTTTTTTTCTCTTGACGAATTTCCCCCGGTCTTTTTTTTGTTTTTGTTTGTTTGTTTGTTTTTTCTTGACAAATTTTTGGGCGGTATTTATTTATTTATTTATTTTAAACCATCTGGCGACCCTAAGGGCAAGCAGGGCAGTTGCCCAGGGCCGCCAATTAGTTAGGACCTGCCCTGACAGGAAGCCAGTACGTTCCCAGCTCTTGTTTCATGGCACTGGCTTCTTCAGTGTCATCTGTGAAGCTGCTTTAGACAGCGGAAAATAATAGCTCTTCCCCTCTCCTGCAAAAACAGCAGTTGCTTACATGGAGGTTGTGCCATTACAAATGGGGAGACTTGGTCTCTACAATCACCAACAGGTTTAAATGCATTTAAAATGTGGCTTACGCTGTGAAGAAGCTGAGGAATCCTTGAGCCACTGCTCCTCACTGCAGATATTTGTATATATTGGATGTTTTGAAAAGATCTGTCTCTATAGACATACATACGTAATCTCCAAGGTAAAATAACTTGACTACATGGGTTAGTGCTGTGAAAAATGTTTCTTCTTATCCATTTCCCTGGCAGCTCTGTGTGTTTCTGTCTTCTGAAAACAGAGGAAAAATGTGTATGTATATTCTGCCTCTCCCGCCCCCTCCTCCTTCTGGAGACCCTGAGCTTACATTCTGCATAGATAAAGGGCTTAACACATCCCTCATTATATGGCAAGGGCCTTGGACTGGCAGCCTGGGGGCGGGGTGGTGAATGGTCTTATATTTGTGCAGCTCCTAGCACAATGGGGCCACGTTGCTGGCGCTACTGCAGTCAGAGAAAAAACATGGTATAGGCGATTTGAAAATAAATAGCATCCTGAAGAAATTCTGCATCAAGTTCTGCCTTTATACTCTGACTTCTCTTTGATTTGAGTGAGACAATATGTGATGTAGACTAAGGCCCTGTGTCCTTAACTGAATCAGGCCCTGAAGGGTTTAGGTCCACATTTGTTTAGGTGCCATTTTCAAGAGGCCCTGAGGCTCTTAAGTTAATTAGTCATTGCAGTGCTGAGCAGAAGCAATGGTAAAAATGCATGTACTAAACTCCCTCTAGTCTCATGGGCTGTGTCTACATTGGCACCCCTTTCCGGAAAAGGGATGCTAATGAGACACTTCGGAATTGCAAATCCGTGGGGGATTTAAATATCCCCCGCGGCATTTACATTTACATGGCTGCCGCTTTTTTCCGGCTCGGGGTTTTTGCCGGAGAAAAGCGCCAGTCTAGACGCGATTCTCCGGAAAATAAGCCCTTTTCTGGAAGATCCCTTATTTCAAGTATTTGCAATTCCGAAGTGTCTCATTAGCATCCCTTTTCCGGAAAGGGATGCCAATGTAGACACAGCCATGGAGTTTAGTGGGAGTAAAGGGAACAGACCAGTGTTCACCCAAGCGCTCAGCTTAGAGGGAACACCCAGGAGAGATTCCAATGCCACCCAGCTGATTAGCAGAGCACCCACAGCTCTGCTAATCATTTCTACTGGTGGTTCATATTCTATGCTTCGGTGCACATAGAAACGTTTATTCTGCACATGGGTGGAAAAGTTTAGCGGGAGCATTAGAACAAACCCGATAGAACAAGGTCTTGGCCTTCTGTTGACATGTTACTGTTCTTCAAACTCATTAGATAGAATTAAACGAATTAGTGCCAGGGTTGTATGGGCTCTTCATTTGTTTCAGCAGTTCTTTTAACTGTATTCAAACATTCGTGGCATTCCTTGAACTCCATAAAATTTTAATTTAACTGCCAAGGTAATGTGTGAAACTGTATAAAACACAGGATATTGGCAGTCCTAATAGAAGACAGGAAAAAAAATCAGTGGAAAACATAAATCAACTAAACACTTACCTTGAAAATATAAATCTTCCCAGCTAAGCAGGGTTGTGTTTGTTTCCAGATTATTTGACTGGCTGGTTTCAGTGATAAATGGAAGTATCTGTGCAGATTCTCCTGTGTGGACCAACTTTATAGGTATGGTTTCTAGTCCCTTGTAATTCAAGAGTAGAAATCAATCTGCTGTAAGACCCAAGCACACTAGATCTGATAGAAATATTTCCCCATATTTCTCCAGGTTTGTTGGACGTTTATGGTTTTGAATCTTTTCCTGAAAACAACTTGGAACAGCTCTGTATTAACTATGCCAATGAGAAACTACAGCAGCACTTTGTAGCACACTATCTGAAGGCACAACAGGTATGGCCCTTCCAGATGTCTAACATGTGGCCATATTATTCATTCCTACATTGCTACACTGTTAAATTCCTAATCCCGAGACTGTTCTGGTTTTATTTAACCAAAAACTCTGTGTCTTTATGACCTGATTATGCAGCTTTTACTCTGTCGCAGAAATAATTGAGATGGTACAGGTAGGTGAGGATAACTTACCAGATAAAGATCATAGGATCAGATCCTTGCAGGGTAGGAAACAGCTACAGAGGAAATAAAATATGTATCCATGTAGCTATTTACAAACGGTCCTGTTTAGAACTCAAAGAGGCATGCTGGTGCTGCTGAATTCACTGGGCATTTCTTGCGGGGGGGATGAGTCTGAACAACCATTTCCTCAGAAATTGCAACTGCAGCAAATCTTTTGTTTCAGGAACAAAGGAGTTAAATGCATGACTCGATTTCACAGGTCTTGGGGCTAGAATTCAGCCCTGGGCTGAGAGCTCATGTAAAGCCCTGCATGGATACAAAATTGGTATCCGCATCCTAATCCACAAAAATGAGCCTCAGATATCCACAGCCGCGGATGCAGAGCAGATATCTGCAGATTTGCAGGGTTCTAGATATAGAATTTATGTCTGCATCAGTATTCGCAGAAATGAGCCATGGATATCCACAACATGTGGCAGAACATTTCGTGCCCGCATTGGCCTTATCAGCCATCTGCGGACACACCGTGGACAGCCCACAAATAGTTAGATGTCAAGGTCCTTTTCGAACACGATGGACGAAGATCATCATCATCATCTGTGGATATAAAGGAGATACCCGTGGATTTGCAGGGCTATACCTATAAGAAGGGCTTAAATGATGCCTAGTGCTTTGTGTGGGCCAACTGGCTGGTAGTAATACCTCACAAACAAATTGCCACTCCCATATCCTTAAATACCAACAGCACAGATCCTGTCTGCCCTTGTTCTGATTAGTGGGAAACAGCCCTGGTAAAGGACAAGTACTATTTCTCACTCTACATTTCAGCCACTAGAAAAGGAAGGGCTTGAATTAAAATAGAACCATACTCTCATTAGAATAATGCTCTGCACTTTGCTAAACTATGGTTGCAGCCATTGGGTAGATCACAGCTAAGAAACAAACCAATTGCTCATTGGATCTTGCTGCGTCTGAATTTAAATTTCAGACCTCTACACCTTCACATCGTAACTTTACATTTGCACAGTCTGTACTATAGGTAGCTCAATGGCGCCCCAAGCAGGCGTGTGGCTGCTACTGGAACATACTTGTGGAGTTGCGTTTTAACCCATTATTACTCGTGTCCCCATTATACTTTTTGCCCTTGCAACCAAGCTGAAGGATATAAGGCTATCTAGCATTTGTGGCAGTGAGGAAATAAGAAAATTATACACGATAGACAACATAATAGTGCAAAACTGGCCCGAGTGTAAGTTATGCAGAAATTCACTGTCTTGTGTGATTGTGAGCTTCACTGATTTTTTTCTTAAACTACTCTCCCTGGGTGACTCTTTACAACATGCCAAGACACTCAGGTTTAAATCAATACAGATGGAAGCCAGATTTTGCACATGTGCTCAAATGATTTGTCTTCTTCAAACTGAAACAAAAACATAATCTCCATTTACCAACCTGTTTTTATGCCAGCTACAAGTGGCTGCTTGCCTTTCTTGGTAGGGCTGCATATCTAAGCAAGTTTGACTTGTGAGAAAATATAAATAAAAATGAGAACTCATTTTGCTTTATCACTTGTCAGTTTGTTCTGTAACAATGCTGAACTCTGCAGCACAGTTACAGTGCTTTAATCAATTACATTGATTTGTTATTAGCAATATGGTAATTTTCCCTTTCCTTTTGGATGCAATTTAGTTTTCATCACAATGCTTTTAGGGGCTGTGTGTTGAGCTCTTGCTTACTTAGGGCTAAATTCTGCCCTAAAGATGATCATATGGGAAACTCTGTCCCTTTAAGGGAAATTCAGGCCAGGTTTATACTAGACCCAGAAGGCCTAGTCTTCACTGTGGGAGGTTGAGGTGAGCAAATGCTGGCACCAACCACAGGTGCCTTCAGCGTTTGATGTAGTGGGTCTTTACGAGACCCACTAAATCAAATGCCCAAAGATCAATCTCCAATGTGACAAGTGAAGACGTGGCCTCATATGAGCATCTGGGTCACACTTTGGCTTTAACCTTGTGTGATCATACTGCAAAGCATCTTTGCAGTTTTGTGAAGAACTACACAGTTCCCACCTATGCACTGTGGGGATCTAGTGCTACTTAGCCAAAGATTTTAGACCTCTTAGGCAAGAAGAAACTTCCAAAGATTGGTAGTTCAGAAAATGACAACTCTCCTACAAGTGATGTTTAAGGATATGATCTGACCTGTTCTTTAAAAGCTCAAATGAAACCTGTGAAAAAAGTGAAAAAAGCTCTCAGTGAATATTCCACATTTCTTTTGTGTTAGGAAGACTATGCAGCAGAAGGTCTAGAATGGTCTTTCATAAACTACCAAGATAACCAGAGCTGTCTAGATCTGATAGAAGGAAGCCCTGTCAGTATCTTTTCTTTGCTGAATGAGGTGAGTTTAAGAGTTGAACTGCTAACGTTATCTGGCCTGCTTTTCTTCCTTTCCTTGACTGTCTCCTGAAACGACCAAAGAAAACAAGTTGAATAGCATGTGTACAATGTTTGCATGAAACTTGCCAGCTGTTTCCATAACACTGTAGGGCTGCTTTTTTCCCCAGATCCCTTGTCCAGTCTCTCAAGGTATCATGTATAAGAAGCACTTCATTGATGTCAAACATGGTTATCCATATGACTAAGTCACTTTTTCAGAGTACTTTAACATGAAAGGACTTGGAATACCAAATGCAACACAGACAAGTAAAACGCCGTAAGGGCGACGTGTAATAACATCTGAAAGGTTTTATGCGCTAGATGAGGAAAGTTTGCCTATTTCAAATAAGGTATGGTGCAATTCTACCTTGTTCTCATTACACAGGAGTGTCGTCTGAACAGGTCCTCTAACGCCAGCCAATTCCAAACCCGAATTGAGAATGCTTTGTCTCCTAACCAGTGTATAAGCCGGGATAAGTTTAGCAAGAAGCCTAACTTTGTTGTTTCCCATTATGCTGGCAAAGTCTGTTACCAAGTGGAAGGTATGGTGGAGAAAAACAAGGTAGGTATTAAAAATAAACTATAAAATAAGCACATGACTTAGGGAAAAATTTACCCTAAAAACCTCAAAATAGTCCAAGTGCTGTCGACACAGTGCATGCATCCACTAGTACATGACTGTTTTGGCTGTGTGGATTGGGTTGATGATCTCAGTCCAGTTTCTAGTGTATAATCACCAGCATACGGTTGCAGCCTTTGTTTGCGGGTTCAGAGGCCCAAGGATTAAGGGAGCCATGCAGAATCAGTGACCACTTGCCTCTAAAGATGTTCTCTCCTGGGCATGGTTATATTACTGGGGCATTTGCATTGCTGAGAGGACTTTAGTCTCCTGAACTGTCAATGTTACATTTAATATAAATATTAAATTCAGACTTTAAACTTCCAAGTCGTCAGGGAAACAGCAGCACGGACTTAACCTTTGGCCGTTTACGAATATCACATGGCAACTTAACATGCGGTGTCTTTTTGCACCCTGCCTCCCAGGAAGTTAATGAGGTGACCTGTGAACTTTGGAATCTGTTACATTCTGCCATTTCTGGTCCAGCAAGTCCCTTTTGCAAGGAATTTTAAGAAATGGGATCATGTGAGGCAGTGACTATCCTCTTATTAAGCACAGAAAAGTGTTCTCAGGTCCATGAGGAAGGCCTGCCATTAACTGGCCCTAGAACAGCTTAGTGTTGTGCCTTCCCGCTATGAGAAAATGATAGTAAGAAACTATTTTTACTAACTATGGTAGTAGTCTGCCTGCAGCATTTCCTTCTGTTTGTGAATTCATATTAATTACATGAGATCAGATCTGCAAAGGTCTCTAAACTATTGCTTTTGTTTAGTAATAGCCTTGGGATGCAGCTTATTTACTAACCTAATTGACTCCAAACATGATGACTATTTAGTTTTAAGGGTGCTTTACCTATCCAAGGAACTCCACCAAATCCTAGTGACATGTCTTTACCTATGTAGGATCCAGTTCCACTGGAGTTACTCCAGCTTCTGAAGAATTCCCAAGACTGCTTGCTTCAGAAGTTCTTTCCCATGACAGAAAAGAGCCAGAATGATACCAAAACCCAGAACAGAACGACAGTTGTTACAGTGGTCTCCAAGTTCAAGGTTTGTCCTGTTTGAGTGTCTGCCAGTTAAATACTATATTCTTCTGCCTGATTTCTGCTGCTGTCCTTAAGTAACTTTGATGATACCCTGTGCCGAATAACGTTGGATGCACTGGTATAAAACTAAAAAAAACCCACACCGATCAGTAAGAGCCTCTGAGTTAAAACAAGTAAAAGTTGGAGTCTGTATTTTCTTTGTGCCTTTTTAACTCGTGTATTTTGTCCATATGCCAAACCAATTCCTCCCTCTTAGGACTCGCTATAACTCTAGGCATAGAGCAATCAATTCAGCACACTTACAAACACTGAATCACCCACAGAATAAAATAGTGCCAAAGGCAGTGTTTCAATGGAACATCGATAATTTGTTCTAGCGGTCCTGAAAAAGCATAAGCAGCACAGCTGCTCTGAAATTAAGCAGGTCTGCTCTTAGACAGCTGCAAAAAATGCCAGGAATAAATATCAGGGTTTTTTAAAAAACAGAAGTATTGATTAGCCAAACTGCTCGGGAAAAGCAAAAGGGCCTCAATATGGTACGGTCATTACTGATTGCTGTTTGTTTCTATAGGGTTCACTTGAAAGTTTGATGCAGATCTTACATAGCACTGCACCTCATTACATCAGATGCATCAAGCCTAATGCGGATTGCAAAGCGATGACTTTTAAAAAAGAAGAGGTAATGCTACCAAGATGTCCATATCTTTCCATTGCATATTAAGCTTTATATCGGGCCCTGTGTATTAATTGTTAAACACTGTTCTTAGCAAATATATTTAAAGTTTCATTTAAGACAAGGGGATTTACCAGAGGTATGGTAGATGATGTTTTCCAAACTAGGGTGGATGTTCATTGAGGATCTCTTTACTGCAACTTCATTGATAAATACCATGTGTATGAAATGTTAGTTTCTCTTAAAAGATGCTGTTCAGTGCAAGTTTGGATTTAGTGGTTTGCGGGGCTTGAATCTCACTAAAACTAGCTCTGAGTCAAGACACCTCTGAACAGCACAGTCTGTATATTTCATAATATACACACACCTTTTATTAATGCTCTGCCTACTCCTAACTTCCTTTCAGGCTACATCGACACTACGAGTTTTGCCAGAAGAAGCAATGCAAATGAAGTGTGGATTAACATTTTCTCATGCTTCATTTGCATAATTCCGATCCATTTTTGCACTAGGGGGTTTTAGCGCAAAAACAAGCAGTGTGGACATTTCGTTTTTGCACAAGATTGGTATAAGCAAAAACCTTACTATAGACGTAGCCACGAGAGTGTCTCACCTCAGATGAAAACAGTTGACATCAGGGTTCTCTCTAAGGCGTGCGCCTGCACGGCACGCACCAAGAATGAGGCCCGCCCACCTCCTCAGCAGAGCCATGCAGTGGCTATGTGACGATGCGTTGGGGTCCCCCGCCTCCTGCACCCCCGAAATGGCATGAACAGACTCCACCAGCCGGTAGAACAGAGGGAGTTTATTGCCTCTCCACGATACAGCACAGATGTCACCAGCTTACAGGACAGGCCTAGGATGCCTCAGCCCCCCTTGATATGGGGGGAGGGGTCTCGGCTTCTAAACCCCCCAGCCTGTTGCTGAGGCTGCTTCCTCCTTGCTCCCAGATCGAAAACTAACTCTCTTCCAGCCCCGCCCCCCAGCTGGGGCGGCATTCCACCTTCCTTTGTTTCTCCCCATGGAGGGTAGCTGGTCAGACAGGTTTGGAGCCCCCTTTGCATAACGACTCACCCTTTTCCCTGCTGGGTCTTGCTGCAGACAGCAGAGGTCGCCACAGCCCTAGCAAGGTACCCCCACTTATAGCCTGTGACGTAGCTGTTCTGGGGCGGGGCCATATGGCAGGCGGCTGTCCTGCTCCAGGAGGAGCAGGG